TATATAAAAAAGGAAACATGTCACACATACATAGAGACACAGGATCTCTAGGATACAGGGGAATTGGTTGTGGAGTTTTATCTCAAGGTGGTGCTCAGATGGGAGAGACTTGCTTTTCATGCTATGCTCCACCCCTTTTGCATTGTTCATACACATGCTTTATCAGCCCACTTGCTCTAAACTAAAATATTTTAAAGTCCCACAAGAAGTAATACTTTAAGAGAAGGAAGACTGTGCTCTGGGATAGAAAGAACATGTACTTTTATTACAAACATCATTCTATGAGGTCATTTTTAGCTAGTGCACCCCCCCTTTTTTATTGTGGTAAAAAGACACATTTCATAAAATTTACCATCTTACCATTTTTAAGCATACAGTTCCGTGGTATTAAATGTATCTCTTTGCTATGCAACCCTCTATCCCGTAACTCTTTCATCTTGTAAACCTGAAACACTTAACTTCCCACTCTCCCCCCTCACCACTGCTACTTTTTATCTTTACAGTTTTGACTATTCTAAGTACTTCATATAAATAGAATTATTCATTACCGTTGACCCTTGAGTAACTCAGGAGTTGGGGTGCCAACCCCCAACCCTTGTGCAGTTGAAATATGCACGTAATTCTTGACCCCCCCAAAAAAACCTAACTACTAATAAATAGCCTACTGTTGACTGGAAGCACTACTGATAACATAAACAGTCAATTAGCACATATTTTGTATATGTACTATATGCTGTCCTTTTACAATACAGCTACAAAAAAACTATTTTTCCAGTAAATATTTTCCAATACAGTTATGGAAAAAATTTCATATATAATCATTGAATCACTATGTTGTACATCTGAAACCATGTGTATCAACTATATTTCAACAAAAAAATGAAAAAAAAAAAGGGAGAGACAAAAGGGAATGCTCATGAAACATAGAAATCAGAAACGCAAAAGGCAAATGATGGAAGTGCCCATTCCATCGGTGACCAGGCAGAAGGGGAAGGAAGAGGAGGGTCTGCGTGTGAGCGGCCGTGTCGCTCAAGGGCTCTGCTGTCTATTTTCTGTGACTGGCTTTTTTTTCACTTACAAAGTAGATTCACACTGTAGTGTACCGCAGAATTTCTCTCCTTTCTGAGACAGAATGATATGCCATTGTTTGTAGGCACCACATGTTGCTTATCCACCATCCATCATTGGACACTTGGGTTACTTCCACATTTCAGCTGTTGTGATGGGGACACCACTATCTCTTCAAGAGCCTGCTTTCAATTCTGTGGGGGCCTACACCCAGAAATGGAACTGCTGGATCACATGATGATTCTTCTTTCGATATTCTGAGGAACTGCCATACCATTTTCCACAGTGGCTACACCATTTCAAGGTCCCACCAAAAATGAAGTGCATATATAACTTTTTAAATAAAAATGTTAACAATAGAAAAACTTAAAAGCCTCCCAAGGATATGTTCTGTATCTTAACTGGGTGGCAATTACATAGGTGTATATATTTATCAAAACATACCAAGCTGTTGCTTAAATGGGGGTATTTTTACTGACACAAATTATACTTCGATAAAGGTATTAAAAAAAAAAACACCTCCCAAAGTGATTCTAATTTTGAGAGAACCGGGTCCCAAGTTTGGGAATAGACATGTTTGGGAACCACTGCTCCTAAGTGCATCAGGGACCCAATAGACAGCCCTGTTGCATTTCTCTAAGAATTCTTATGACACTACTCCCCCACCCCAAAAATCTCTTCCAAATTAGTGAGATTACTGCGTACTAAAAACTGTGACCTGAACAGTGAAAGTTAAGGACTGCATGTCTGGCACTGGGCATAAGTGCTTCCTTCTGAATGAACCTTCTGAGCACTGTTATCTCCCCTGTTCCACAGAAAGGAAACTGAGCTACATGGGGGCTGCATCACTGTCCAGAGTATCGAGCATGAGAGCCAGTACATCAGTGTCTGTCAGCCTCTCTCCGGAGCCCACACTCTTACCTGGCATATTCCACTGCCTTCCTTTTCTGAACTTAAGACCTTTAAAAGGATAAAAGGAGCTTCCTTTTGAATAACTAAAAAGTTAAAACGGGAGACTTCATTCAGAAAAGAACTTTTACACACAAAACTATAAATGCAGTATTTCCAACAAAACTGCCAAATCGTGTAATAAAATTATCCCATCACAAGCACTGTATTGTCACATGAAACAGCCATGTTGAATGTACTTCCTTAGGCTCTCAGAACCTAAGGAACACAGGGTTATGTAAAAGTACACCAGAAAAGTGGCATAACATTTGCTCTGTTGGTCTATGGAAGGGGCATCAGAGAACAAGTCACCTACACCAGAGAGAGCATAACTGCCATGAGACCATAAAAATGTCAACATAAACCAAAGAGTAGTATTTTCAAGTGTGTGCTTATAATTAAAATAATTGTTTTAAGTAATGGATTCGGATCTCTATTTCAGAGCAGCTAGGAATTTCACAGGATACAAACCTGTATTCTTTTGTCTCTTTCTCTTGCAAAATAAAATAGTTTTTATGTGGGGACTGCTTTTTGGGGCCCACTGTTAAAGTGACAGAGTGAACAGGACATTCTCCCGTAAGTTATAGGGACTTCTGTTGTAGGGACTGTGGTCAGAATGCAGGGACAGTAAAATGGGAAAACCTAATTAATGGAAAATACAGTTCCTAAGTAAACCCGAAAGGTAAATGAAGCATGCATATAGTTGGTATATAAAAGTAAATGCTTCTAACTTCATGACCCAACATTCTTCGGCCACAGTTGAACACACAAGTGTGCCTATGAGTTGTCATGGGTCAGACACCCTTCAGGAACCCTTCAGTTATAAAGGCAGTGACGGCACACGAAGTCCCCCGCCCTGCAGCTGCCCTTCCTGCCGGAGGAGTACTATCTCTTCCGCTGCTACTAATGCCCACGCACCCAGCAAAACCATCTCAGAGCCAAATAAAAGCTTGGCCACAACTATAATCCAAGGATGAATCTAAACAATTTGTGATTACACGGTCTCTTGTTATCAAACTAGTGTTTGTGATGCCAAGTAACATTTATAAAAGTGATGGTAAAATCCAATAAAATCCCTGTCACTCTAAAAGCAAGCAGTCGCTATATGAACGCAATGCACTGATGAACAGCAACAGTACCATACCCAGTGGTGCCAGGCTAGCTGTCCTATGCCCAGCAGCTGCTCTGGGCAGTCTCCTGCCACGCATCTGGGCTTACAGAAGCCACAGCTTCCAATTTATCAGCACAGCCTACGAGCACTCCTTCACTCATCATGAATCTCCCCACTTGCACTGCTATCAGTCCTGTCCAAGCCACTATCATCTGTCGCTGGGTTTAAATAGCTTCCAACGCATCTCCCTGCTTTCATTTTTGCCTCCCTATAGTCAAAACTGAGCGGCCAAAAATGTAAGTAAACCAGAGCCCATCACTCCCCTATTATAAAAACCCTTCAAATGCTTCCCAATGCACCTGAATAAACTTTAAATTCCCAGTTCCTACTAGAGCTGGCCCCTGCCTGCCTCACACCCCTCCTGCTTGCTCTAGCATTTAAGCCCTTTTGCTGTTCCCCAAGAAAGGCAAGCCCAGTCCTTGTCTACCATCAGCCTTCCCTACTAGAATACAGACTCCACGAGCACTGTTACCAATGTGTTTATTATTATTTTCTGATGTGCTTTCCACTTGGTCAGTAATTTTGAGAAAAGCAGATGGAATAATTCAAAATTAACAGACTTCACAATTATAAAATTTCTACTTTTCCTCCAGAAAAAGCAGATCCAGGAATAAATCTTAACGTTACCCTAAATGGTTCTTCTTTTTAATAGTGATGGGATTCCATTAGCTACCATGATACACAGAATAATTCTATCTAGATGTGTATGTGAAATAGGACAAAAGTCATTTTCCCATTGTTTTTAAACCAATGTTATCAAGGTCATTCAAGCCTCAAAGAGATTGGAAAGCCATTTCCTTTTTTTGGTACCTTAACATATATCATATAGCTTCATTAAAGGGTACTTGGAATGCAAAAAAAAAAAAAAAAGACTTCAGTTCCAAACCAAATAAATGTTCACATTTCTAGGAATAAAGATATTGTAACATTACCAGAAAAACTCCCCAGAGGGCGGGGATCTCCTGTTTTCTTCTGATGTGTCCCAGAATAGTGCCTGGCCTACAGTGACTACCCAGTAACTATTTGTTCAATGAACAAATGACAAAACCACGAACTAGCCTGGCCTTGATCTCACACACCAGGGTGGAGGAGCCGAAGGCCACCCAAACACTGTGACCACAGTCTTTACTGCCAGGAGGTCCATCTCACCAATGAGAACACTCATCCCGGACCACTCACTTCTCCAGGGAGTTGCCTCAGACCCAGGGAGAACAAGAAAGGTAACCAAAGTGATGCCATACCAGGATATTTCTCATGGTATCAATTACAGTAAGATACTTCTGACCATTTCCCTCCTATATAATCCCTGGGGGGCAGCATACGCTGCTCCCACCCAAGACAGGACCACTGCTGCTGCTGAGAGGAAGGACTGTCCTCTAATGCTCATTCTCTTGTTGGCTCACTGTCTGTTGATAATTACACATGCCAACAGGTCACCAAACTGCTCTATCGCAAAAAAGAAAAAGATGAAGAACCTCAGGAAGAAGGTGGGACAGGTCCAGAAGTAGAAGTAGTGTGTAATATGGTGAGTTCATCTTTCTAAAGATTAAGTAAGAGACAGGTTATGAAATACATCTTCATGTAAAGAACAAACATCGCTTAGAATAGAAGAGAAAAAGGAAGTTGAAGGAGTATCTTATAGACAGGCAGGAAATCAAGACCGGAGAGGAGTTATGGAGTAAGATAAAGAACTCAAGGCTGGTGGAAAAGAGAATCATTCCCAGCGATGCACCCACATCTCCCTTTACTGTGTGGTAATAATCTCTCTTCCATGGAGAGAGGGGAGTGAGAGGAGAGGCTTTTATTCACATACCTTACAAATGCGCTGCAACACCCACGGCCTGTACGGCAGAAGTTCTACAAAGCACCCTAAACTTCACAGATGAAAGGCAACTATAAGAATAAAAAAAAAAGGAATTATGTCTATTTGTTTTGTAAGGGGAAAAATAAGCACAGAATGTAAATGGGCTTGCCTAAAGTTCTGTGAAATAATTTAGAATCCAGGAGACAGAAAAAGTGCAGAATGTGATTTTTAACTGTCACACCAAGGAATTTAATCACATTTATACAAGTCCTGGTCTCCCGCACAGAGGAAATGTACACAATCAACCTTATTTTCTGAATACTATGATGTGGTCTGTTAAAGGAAAAATCAAAAGCAGACGAATCCTATGTAAATTAACTTCCCAACATTATAAAAATTTTCAAGCAGAAATGAAACTAACTTTACAGTGAACACCTGTATCCTTAGCACCTCGACTACCATGAACTTTTAAATGACTTGCTTCATCAAACATTTCCTTTTTAATACAGGTATTAGAGAAGAGTTACAGGCTGCAAGACGACTTCAGAATATCAAGCACTTCTAAAACACAGGTTTAAGTCATTAGTCAAGGAAATTATTAATATTAGGATAGCCTTCAGATATTTTTGTCGGAAATGATTAGTGTTTATTCTTGGTGAGCAATTCTAGTTGTTTAATATCAGATCACATTCTCCTGCTTTCTCATCTCAGAACCCAAGGTGCTCCCCATGTCCTCAGTGCCCTGCATGATCTGGCCCCTGCCCACCTCTCTAATTCATTTTACCTCCCACTTTTCCCTTCGGTCCAGTCCACTCCAAACTTATTTCACCGACTACCTATGTTCTCCTCTTTCCCTTTAGATACCATCATAAATATGCTTAAACATATTTACCTATACTCTTCAAAAAAAAAAGGTAAACTCAATTTGGTACAAACTGTAAAAAGGCTCAATTTAAGAGTGTATCTCCTATTTTGATGATTATTAACTATAAAGTTATTCAGAATCATCTGGAGGAAGTACCAATAAACTCGGACCAACACCCAGAGTGAGCAGCTTCTATGCCTAGCTGGTCAGTCACGTGACTACCATAATTATGCGTATACACAGGCCTTCACTTACTACTACTGCACCACAGATTTAAAAATGAGTCACTTAAAATAGAAACACTTAAAGAATTTTACAGTAATAACTAAGCTTTAAACTTAGAAATTTTAATTTATTAATCTCATAAGTACTTAACAGTGAGCAAGTCCCCCAACAGGAGAGTATAGCAAGACACATTAATATAACCTTAAATTTTAGTTACGTTAATGTGTAAAATGTGTAATGTGCAAACCAATTCCACTGGCCCTTTATAAAGGGATAAACTAAACTAAGCGGTAAAGGAAGACGAAATACTTCTAGGGACCTTTTGAAACTACAAATATGTGATTAAAATCCAGTGATTATGTATCACTTATCGTTATCAGTAACCATTAGCAGCCATAATGCAATTAAACCCAAGGTGCTGTCTGTAGAAGCCCGGCAAGCTCACATTAGCTTTCTTAAAGGCTGAAATATCAGTCTTTCTTCTAACCGAGTTAACATAAACCTCTCAGCTCTAGGACAATTAAGACCCAAGGTAGCAACCCACCTCCTCCACCCACCTCTGCTTGGACTCCACCCCATGGACAGGAAACACCTGAAGATCTACCTGTTTTCACTCTCCTAATAATTTACACTCCCACATGACCTGAATAAACTTTGAGAAGAGCTACTGATCAAAAGGGAATCAGGACTAGGAAAATGCTCCAGCAAAACCACTATCATATACATGTACACAGGGACCTGTTTGCTTGATACATGCAGTTTCTCCCCACCCCACCTCAAATCAACAGTCAAAAGGGCCTAACGCCACCTGATAACATCTTAGCCTTGACCTTATGATGTTGGATTTGAAGCAGGGGAGTCTGGGCCTCCCTGTGGGAGAAGTTGGTCCCTCGCAAAGACCCAAACACCTAAAGGCGGGACTAGGCCAGGCAGAGTCCCTGTATATTCATTTACTATTTTAATCAACTGCTGTTGGACTACCCAGTTTCAGAGCATCTGAAAAGTGCATGGAAAAATGTACTTTTCAGCTGCTCTCTATATAAAATCAGCAATAAATAAAAGGAGGAAACACTAGAATAAGTTCTAAGTCCTGAATTTTAACTGACTGGAAGCACACTGGGGTACATGGAGAAAACCTTGCAGAGAAAATAGTTCGGGCCTGCCCCTGACTAGACATAGCACCCTGGGAATTTATTTAAGCCTCTGGGACTCAGGTTCCTCTTCTGCAAACAGGGATGGTCTGTAAGTCCTGAAGATTCCTTAGGTCTAAAATTCTGGATCTATGAAAAAGTCGGTGGATTCTTACTGTCTTCGTCTCTCCAGGACAGATTCTTAGAACAGAGGCTAGCTACTAGGACTAGACCTTGATTCCAAGCAAGTTCCATCTTACATACTGTTAAGTCCCCAAGAGCCACCAGAGCTCTACAAGTCTATGTAACACCTCAGGATGACTTATCAAAAGAGAACCTTCAGTAAGTTATCCTTAACAATTACGAACCAGTCTTGTACTTTCAGCCTAATGTCACTTGGCCAGATGTGCAAAACAGTATCTCCAACTGATGATCCATGTCTAAAGTGACGACCATGCAATGGCTGGGTGTGTGACACTAAGTGGCTGAAAAATTCTCACCACATACAACATTTTAGAGAACTTTTCACCCCTCAGATCTGGGAGGGAGGACTACAGTGTGATTATACACCTGCAAGAAACATTTACTTCAAACTCAAAAGACTGTCTTAAACACAAAATCAACCAAACAAGTCACCAACGGAGGTAAAAATTTAAATCAGGACCATTAAAAAACACAAGCGGACCAATTCCGAGGCAAAGAGGATGCCAATTTTCCACCATAAACTACGAAATGTGGTTCTGACCAAATCAATGTGAGTGCAAACAGTGCCGTTTAATGAAGACGACCCGTAACTGGGTCCAGTCGGTAAGCAAGGACAGACGTTTAGGTGGTTCCCGATCGAGGTGGCAACGTAGACCAAACAAAATTGCAAATCAGTACTCTCTCCTGATGCAACATAATTTAAATCGAGAGAAATGTTCTTTTCAAGTGGAAATTCCCTTCCTTTCAATACCGAAGAATCCTAGCCTAGGATTTCAACAGCGTCCCCTACTTCCACAATCTCCCAGAAGCCTGCGTTATGAGACCATCTACCCCAAACCTAAGGGGACTCCACCCGGGGGGGGGGGCGGGGAACGGCGACCCGCGCTGCACTGAACGGTGAGGCCAAAATGGAGTTGCGCGGAGTTTCTCCCGTTTCCAGCCCGCCGCCCGGGGGGAGCGCCGGACCCAAGCGGGGGCAGGGGCGCGGAGGCCGCCGCCGCTTCCGGGGCCTTCGCGGGCCCGGAGCAGCAGGTGGGGCGCGGCCGCGGCGGCAGCGGGCGGCGGGCGGCGGCCGGAAGAGTGCCGGGCGGGCGGGCCGCGGCGCCAGGAGGGAACCCGCTGGCTCACCTCAGGCGGCGGCTCCAAGTCCGGCTCTCCGCGCCGAGGACGCCGGTCCGCGAGTTGCGAGCTCAGAGCCGGGCGGCGGGCTGAGGGGGCGGCGGCGGACTACCGAGAGAACCGACGGAAGACGGCGGGCGGCCGGCGGGGAGCGCGAGCGAGCGCGGGCGGGCGGGCGGCGGTGGCGGCGGCGGCGGCGGCGGCGGGAGGGCGGGGAGCGACGTGCGCGCCCTCGTGTGCCCAGCGCGCTCAAGCCGGCCTTCGCGGCCCCGCGCGCGCGCGCGCGCCCTCCCAGCTCAGCCATGATTGCTCAGGAGCGCTTCCACGCCCTGCAGGCCAGGCACTTAACCAATCAATGCGGCCGCGTGGGGCATCACGGGAACTCTGGGGCTATAAAAGTCCTGGTTGCTATTTTATGCCTCTCGACTCACTCATCCTTTAAGGAAACATGGTAAGGCTGGCTGCGCGTGCGCGGTTGTAATTCTCCGCCCCAAACTGCCAACTCCTCGCGCATGCGAGGCAGGCGCTCCCTGCCCGGGTTTACGCGTGCGTACTAGCGGGCCTGGCCCCGGAACACCGGACACCTGAGCAGTGGGGGGCTGCAGGGACAGACGGGCGGGGCGCCGGCCGGCTATGGCAGCCCCTTGGTCTGGGCAGACCTTGCAGGCTCTGCCCGCTACAGTGCTGGGCGCGCTGGGCGCCCTGGGCAGCGACTTCCTGCGGGAGTGGGAGGCGCAAGATATGCGCGTGACCCTCTTCAAGCTGCTGCTGCTGTGGCTCGTGTTAAGTCTTCTGGGCATCCAGCTGGCGTGGGGGTTCTACGGGAGCACGGTGACCGGGCTTTATCATCGCCCAGGTGAGGCTTCCCATCGACCTCTGTGGGCCGGCCACGGCCGCCCCCGGCGGACAATACCCTGGGGCCCCGCACAGCCGCCACTACTACCACTGGTCCCCTAAGAACCTCATCACAACCTAACACCATACGCTGACCCATGCCAACATGCCGTTTCACGCCGCAACCCCCACGGAGTCCACCCATCACATGTCACTGTCCCTTTGAACCCCTATCAGACAACTGGTCCCTTAAGGCCCCCACCACACTTACCACCTAACAATACCACCGGCCTCTCTAACTCGACCTGGGCTAATGCCCGCCCAGATCCCCACCCCCAGCCTGCTGCAGCTCTGGATGTGTTCCTGCCCCCAGGTCTGGGCGGCCAGAATGGATCCACCCCTGATGGCTCCACGCATTTCCCGTCATGGTGAGTCAGTCTGTTCCCACCGTAACCCCCTGCTTTGCAGGGAGACAACATCTTGTGCTGGGGACAGGGATGGGGGATGGGCGTTCTCAGGGTAAGAAGTCTACCCCCTCAGTGGCATTGGCAGCAAGCTCAACAAGGTCTGCAGGTGGAGATCAGTATGCTGGTTAGCACCTGTGGAGTGGGTGATGTTGTTTTCGCAGTTTCAGAGATGAGGTGACAAGCCTGTTGGATTCCATTCCACTACAAACCCCTTAGCTGGAGAGGCAGGAGCTCTTGTCCTTACTGCACTGACAGACCTCATCAGGGTCAGCCTCTTCCTCTGTAAATCATGAACTCACTTATCAGGGCATCAATTTAGCTAATTTGCAGCTCCTACCGTACGGCAGGGGCTACGCCAGCTCCAGAGAACCAAGACAACCCAGGGCCTGCTCACAGGCGGGAGTCAGAGGTTTAAATGGGGAAAGCAGCAGTGCAGGTCAGAGGTTTCTCCCAAAGGTTTCTACCTAAGCTGAAGACAGAGGCTGGGCGGTGGTAAGCCGTAGTAGACAGACAATGGACAGAAGGCCTAGAGGCAAGATCAAACAATAGGAGACACAAGGCTGTGACACTGGGGCTCAAGCATGGAGGTGTGGAGGGACCCACAAACCCCTACTCAGGTCTCAGGAGGCTATTAAAGGACTCAGCAAGGCCATGGCCTGATCTAATTTGCCTTTATAACTGCCTGATTCATGGCAAGTAGATAGAGGGGCCCCACAGAGAGGACAGAGGCCAGTCAGGAGGTCTGCCACTGCCCAGGTTTCTGTCTTGGGCACCTGGGGAAAGGTGGGAGCATCAACACGAGGAGGAAGAACAAGTCCGCAGGGTGGCGGGAGGCCCAAAGGTGGCAGCCTGCTGTGGGCTGTGGCGGCTCGCAGCAAGGCCCAGATGGTCGTGTAGCCTTACTGAGCCCAGCTCAGGCCCCAGAAGGGGCTGGGGAATCAGTCTCAGTACTGCTGTGCTGCCCATGAAGTAACCCCTCTTCCTTCTCTCTCTGTCACTTTCAGGGAAACAGCAGCGAATGAACCTCTCAAAACCCATAGAGAATAAGGGAAAGCAGCAGAGGGGTCTCCAGGGACGTCACCAGGTCTGCTGGCTCCCTCACTTGGCTCTGCTGCTGCCCAGACCCCAGCGACAGCTGCAGGAGGGCCACGGCTGGGAGCAGGGAGCACCCCGGTGCTGCAGCGCTGGGCTTCCAGGGCCCTTGGCCTCGCTTGAAGCCACCCCAGGCACTGGGCCAGTAACGTCTGCCTCCGCCCTGATCTGGGCGTCTGAAGGCAAGAAGGCGCGCTTCTCCTCTCAGGGGTCCCGTCAGCTGAGGAGGTGCCTCTGGGGCCGGGAGGCCAACAGCCCATTTTCTGTCTTACTTTCTTCCTGTCCCTCTGCCCAAGCCCCTGGGGTGTGACCCTAGAGATCCGCCTCTCTGAGACGAAGCCTTGAACCAGCTCTGGGATGTGTATGGGAAGTCTCCCCTAAGCTCTGGGTTTCCTGAATGTCTTTGGTTTTGCTCTGTTGGCAGAGAGCCAGGGAATCCTTGCCTCGACACAGCCTTATGCTCTCTGGTTCCTTAGCTAGCCATTCAAGTATCAGATGGGGAAGCTGGCACCATGCAGACATGGAGGCACCAGACCCACCTCCCTGGCCCCTCCTGAGCTCTACAGGCTGAAGCCAGGCTACAGAGTTGTTCTTAATGAGCAATGAACTCACACCACAACCTCGATCCTTCTCAGATTGTGGTGTGGGTGCTTGAAAGAGGCTGAGCCCCGGGAGTGGCCTCCCACCCCCACCACCTGAGTGTCCAGGGGGTTGTGGGTTGGCACCTCGCCCCTCACAGGGAGGTGCTGTGCAGTCAGTGCAGAGCAGCCCTACCGTGGCCTGTTGCCTCATCACTTCCCATCTTGTCCTGGAAGCACAGGCATCTCATCCCAAGAGTCCACAGGCTCAGCAACTGCCCCCTGGCATCCTCTCAGCCCCCAAGAACCCTCAGCAGGGAGCAGGGAAGCGCCATAGGCTAAGTAGGCCTGCCACTTCTACATTGGGCCAGGGGAGCTTCCAAAGGTGTGGTGGCAAAGGCCACCCCCAGAAAGCAGTGCAGCCCTGGACCCGCCTCCAGCCGGGCTGCCAGCTACCTGGGGGCAGTCCCTCCACGCCCTTAGACGTCTCCTGTCTGCCCAGCAGCCCTGCCTTGGCTGCACTTGCAGCCGACGTGCACTGGAGGTAGGACCATCGAGCTCAGGTACCTACCCCAGAGATACCTTCTGGCTGGCAGGATGATGGCTCTGCAGCCCCAGGCCTACCCACTGACGCCACCACACAGAAACAGGTCTCCTGTTTTGCTCCAGGCTCAACTAAGGATGTGGCTCATTAAATGTCCAAGTGCACCAGCCGTGTGATCATTCACAGGACAAGGGTGTGTGTGCACAGGAGAAACCAGAGGGAAACCCCAGGGACCACTGCCCCTGCGTACCCAGAATCCGACGACTTGCTGGGATGGAGGGGTGACGCCAGCTCCCCACAAGGGCACGAGGCCCATTAGTTCTTACAGACCTGCCCCTCTCCAGAAGAGCCCCTTCAAGCCTGTTCAGAGGCCATCAAGGCAGGTGTCGGGTGGGCTCCCTGGGAACCTTGTGGACAAAGATAATGAAGAGCCTCTGGTGAGCAAGAAGGAAGGAAACCCATTTAATGTTTAGGAGTCAGTGGAATCCAGAAATGGGCCCAGGGGCAAAGGTCAGCCAGCATACGGCAAGTCCTGGAAGAGGCCAAGCTGCCCTGCAAACACAACAGCCTTGGGGCTGCAAACAGTTGCCAAGCCTGGCATGGTCGGCCTGCTGGTGGGCAGCAGGCTGGTCCCACTCAGAATGTGGAAAAGTGAATCTGTACCCCTCAGCCATGCCCAAGTTCACCTACAGGGACAGTGACTGTGCTGGGCCTGCCCTCTGCAAGTCAGAATCCATCCTGCCCAGTGAGAGGCAGTAGGCTACATTTGTGGAAAATAAACTGGAACAGGTAGTTGGCATAGTTGGCACTGCTCAGGGTAAAAACCCTTGGCAGTATGAGGAATTGTGGTGAGGTAGGTTGGGCAGGGTTTACCCTCCCCTAAAGGGGAGCCTTCTCTCCACAGCCAGCACCTGGCAGAGGGGAAGGGAGAGGAGCCGCCAGGCCTGGCGCTTCCCTCGGCCCTCCAGCAGGTCAGAGTGGCTGGAGCAGGACACTGAGTGAGCCAGCCCATAGCTCACAAACAGGGACCTGAAGCTGCAGTGACAGAGGTTGAGGGGGAGTGGGTCAGCCGGACCCCCAGAGCCAGCCCCAGCCACTGTGTTCTGCCTCGGCTTCCCGACTCACCCCTTGAAGAAAGCCCCCCAGGGCAAGGCTCCTGAGACCACTACCCAAGGTGTCCTCCCTTGAGGGTGTAATAGTTGGTGGGCACAAAGGGCATCTTGCTGACCACAGCTATCTGCTGCTTTCGCCGCACCTCCACCAGCAGCGGGGTGCCTGGCTGACTATATTCACGGGGCACATATCCCATCGCCACATTCTTCTTCAGACAGGGCGAGGGGCAGCCACTGGTCACAGCACCTGTGCAGCAGAGGCTGTGCGTCAGGCCCGCCCACCAGCCCTGTGTCCCAGAAGGCCAGGCTGTCCCCTCCACCTACCAATCACGGCACCCTCCGTGCTCAGGATGGGGCTGCGTGCCCGCACAGGAGCCCCCTCACACACCAGGCCCACACGCCTTCGTGGCACCGTGCCCTTCAGCTGGTGAACGATGACCGCAGCTCCAGGGAAGTCCATGGCGGCTCGGCGGCGCTTCCCTGGAGCACAACATGCCAGACTGGCTCTTGGTCCCGGTAACCCTGGCCATGGTAGGCCCCAGCAACAAGGACCCCAAGGCATACCCGCACAGCACCACAGTCCCCTTCCTGCCCTCGAGGCAGTCAGCCACCCATGGGCCACTTGCCCTCTGGTCATGGAGGCTGTGCTGCCCACTCAGCCTGCTCAGGGCCCTCAGCACCCCGTGGGCAAAGCCACAGTGGCACCTTCAGGAAATGGAGGCTCGGAGAGGCTGAGTCACACACTTGGGAGCTGTCACGGGCTGGCTGGTCTCATAAAGGGCCGCTCCGGACCTCAGGACCCCCTCCGAGTGCTCAACCAGTTTACCCAGCGTCCAGCTGAGGCTGCCTTCCACAGGCGTCGTGTGTTCACCGATGTCACTCCCATACAAGCAGAGACCCGCCTCCAGGCGCAGGCTGTCCCGGGCCGCCAGCCCTGCCAGCTTTACCTCCGGGTTTTCCAGCAGAGCTGTGGCCAGGCTGACTGCCTCTGCTGCCGGCACAGAGATCTGCATGGGACACAAGAAAGCGGGAGGCAGCTGGCCCCAGAGCCCTGTGCCCTGCACTGCCCCGCACCCACTTCTCAACATACCTCCACGCCATCCTCTCCTGTGTAGCCACAGCGGGTCACGCGGCAGCCAGACACACCGAACACCTCCATCACAGCGCTGGCCATGAAGGGGAGTTTCCTCAGGTCGCCTGCCACACCAGCCTGAAGTACCTGGGCTGCAGTGGGGCCTGGGCCCAGGGAGCCAGTGACCATATGTCCAGGTCCCAGTGCCCCTCAAAGCCAGACCACAGCCCTTACTCGGGGACCAGAACAAGCCCTGAGCAAGTCCTACTCTGCAGATGCTGGAAGATGCTCTTGCCTACAGCTCATGGAGCCTTGTGGCGGGTGAAGGGAGAATTTAGAATTCATAGTTACAGCACCCAAACACCACAGCATCCACACCTTCCTCCTGGTATGGCCTTTGTGCCAAGCAGTCAAAGAAGCCAGGAAGGCGAGTCAGCTCCAGCCCCAGCCTGGCCCACTCACCTTGCAGGGCTAGCAGAGCATTATCTACCACCTCCAGGCCCACGTCATGGCCCATGTTCTGAAGCTCCTGGATCTTGTCCTGAAAGAAACACCACATCAGCTTCTAGGACCACTCACCAAGCACCTAGCAGGGGCTGGGTGCTGCAGAGCTGGGCAGAGTGGGCTATTCCCATCTGGCAAGGTCGCCTAACTACTAAACAGTAGAGTGACCAAGCCCAGGTCCGCCAGCTCTAACGCCAGATCCCAGCCCTGCACCCTCGCCAAGAGGCTCACTTGGGCCAGGCTCGGCTTCACCTCCCCACCCTCCCCACTCTCCCATGCCCAGGAAGTGTGCCCAGTCTGTGCTAGGCAACGGGGGTGCTGCCCTGTGAACCAGGAGATGGGGGGCCTGGAGCACAGGGGCGTACCTGCATGAGGGCCAAGTCCTTGTCCCGGCAGCCAGCGTTGGACACCACGTACAGGTGCCCCTCAGAGGTGTTGGTCACAATCAAGTCATCTAAGATGCCTCCGGCCTCATTGGTAAATAGCGACAGCACCCCCTAGCACCAAAGTGGAGCATCTTCGCCTCCAGGTCCCACAGACCAAGGTCAAGTGACTCAGACACAGTCCAGCCCCACTCAGCCACACAAACTCATGGACAGGCATGTGCAAGGGGCAGGGCTGGGTCAGCCCGGGTCCCTGCCCAAGCCCAGGGGTTTGACCCTTACAACTGAGAATGTTTTCACCCCTTCCCCACCTCGGGGGACCTCCCTGATCTGGTGGGGGGCCTCTGCACTCCCGTCCTACCCAGACCTGGGCAACTCAGCCAGTGCCCCAAGGACAGAAGCTTCCAAGGCCATCTTGATGATCCCACAGGCTCTACAGCAATACCCACAAAATACTGTGAGGGTGGCCTCAGCCTCCCCACCCAACAGACAGAGCCTGGGGTTCAGAGGCCACCTAAATCACCTGGGGGTCTTGTTAAAGTGCAGGCTCTGATTCAGCAGGTCTGGGGCAAAGCCCAGAAGTGTATTTCTAACTAGCTCCTAGACGGTGAGGAGGCTGCTGATTTAGGGACTATACTTTCAATTGCAAGGGTTTCAGCAGCATGGATGGTCACAAAGCAGGGCACGAACTGAGTTTCTGACCTCCCACCTGGTGCAGTGAGGATGGGACAGGCCCTTCTCTGCAGATGGCTGGGTGAGGACGTGGCTCGGGCACTCCATCCACCAAGACTGCAGGCCTGTGTCTGATTGATGGCTCTGCCCCCCAAGCACGGAGCAGGGATGAACACCCACTGAGCGGAAGTAGAAGAGGGGCCCACCTGGTCTGGCCTTAGCTCTGCAATATCTCCAACCACTAGACTCTCCATCAGCTTCACTCGGTCGCGACCAAATATCTTGGTCTGGGAAAGAGATCCAAAGCCGCAGGCCGCTGCGAGAGCTTCAGTCGGGAGGACCCCTGCAACCTCCCCACCACCCACGGCACAGTCCCGCACAGTCCAAGCGCAAGACCAGGTTTGTGGTTCTGCAGATGGGAGGGGCCCCACCTTCTGATTCCTCCACATCTGCCAATATCGCAGGGAATGAATGGGTGCGGGGTTGGGGTGGGGGCGCGGTTTCGGGAGCCTGAGAGGACCCAGCACCTTCCTGAAATACCCACTTTGCCAAACTGATAGCCAGGACAGAGGGAATGCCACTAAATTTTCACAGGCTGGGGAGACAGGAAAGGATCAGACCCTGAATTAATGGTCCCGGTGGCCACAGTCTGAAACCTTCTGGAAGGGTGACCCTTGGAGCCCAGCTCTCAGCAGACAGCCCAGGGCCGCACCACTGTGAACAGAAAAGCCTTGGTCTGGCGGCCGGCGTGCCGCCCCAGCTCACCTGCAGCATGTGGGACACGTCAAAGAGCGAGCAGTGCTGGCGTGTGTGCAGGTGTGACTCAACGTGGCGGTCCCGGTACTGGACTGGCAGACTCCAGCCGGCGAACGCCACCATCTTCCCGCCGTGGGCCAGATGGAAGTCATAGAGTGGTGTCCTGCGGGGCACGTCCTGCAGGCAGCCAGGCTGGTGCTACCAAGGCCCCAGCCCCCTCCCTCCCTCGGCCCCCTCGAAGCTGGTGCACCATCCCCCAGAACCCTCTATCCCACCTGTGTGCAACCAAGCGGACGGCTCAGGGAAGGGAGTGCCGGCTGCCGCAAGGCCAGACGGGCTACCGTGCTCATCGCCCACTGCATTGTTGCCCTCAACGGGCGCAGCCGGCGCACAGAAGCCGCCACTCCACCAAGCACGTTGGGAAATGTAGTCCAGGCCCTGCTCCGGCCGACCCCTCTCCCACAGGGAGATCAGAAGAGGGCAGGCAGCCCCTAGGGCAGGCGGGGCTTTACAGCAGAGACTGCAGGACTCCAAATGCAGGGAATCAGCCCCAGGCACTTGTGGCAGACCGGCAGACTGGGCTGTCCCAGCCTGTTAGGCTACTCAGAATCATAGCTGGGGGCTGGACCTCCCTCTGCGGACTGCCCTGCCTCCAAAAGGTCGAAGTTCTGCAAAAGGCTAAAAGGTCTGAATCTCGCATTCATGCCTTCAGAAGTTTAAGGTCAAATGAGGGGCGATGGACGCAGGAGGGTGGTGCCAGCTGGCAGGCAGAGCACAACAGAAACCTGGCCTCCTGTGAGGGTCTCCAGCTCCCCCTGGGCAGACACAGGCAGCCAGCACACTCCTGCATTTCACAAGTTTTATTGATCTTGCTGCACACGAGGCCCTCAGCTGAGTGCTGGGGACACAGCCATGAATGAAGCGTGGTCCCTGCTACCCCAGGGGTTGCCCACTCCCTGAGCACATGACTGTGGTCAATACCCTTTTAGCAAAGGCTGAATGGAGCTAGGTAAGTGACCCAGCAGGCAGAGACAGCACGTGCGAGAGCTCTGACAAGGTGAGACAGAAGCAGGTGCTGACCTTCCCCTACAAAGCCACTGAGCCACACAGATACCAGGTCTGACACAAGTTGCAGTACCGCCTCGTAAGAGCCCCCAGGGACAAAGCCCCGAGAAAACAAAAAGCAGGATTCTCTCAGAAGGAAGAACAACCTGCCTTATAGAGCGACTGGCCTGGGCCACAGAGGACAAGACGCCAGCCAGACTCCTGCCCTGGACCGGCTCCTGCCAGGGTGAGCCCCCGTCACACTGAACACGACCTGGAAGGGGGCTGGCTGGGACAAGGGAGGAAGGTCTGCTCTGGGCTGTCAGATGACAAACAGGTCACAGGACTCATTCTAAGCCCTGGCCTCAGCAGAGGCACCTGCCCAGGCCGGCCGAACACACCATCTGGACACCATCCAGGGGCCACCCCAGGGACCAAGGGACCGCGGCTGCCCCAATTCACAGCTCTGCTCCCTAGGCAGGCAGCGGAAGAGTTTGGAGGGAGGGAACTTCTTTCAGCGGGCATAAAGCTAAGGGAAAGACCACTAGGGGGCGCAGAAGAACTGGGGCTCCTGCTACCCACCTCGCGCCTCCAAAGTGTGAGTGCCCAGGTGCTGCAGCCTTCCAAGGCCAGATAAAGCCAGTCCCCGGGTCACTCAGCCCACTGCACCCAGGGAGGCAGGAGGGCAAGCAGAAGACAGAGGAGTATGCTCATTGGCAGGAGGCGCAGAGGGCACCCGGGACTCTCAGTAGAATTGGAGTGTCTTTAGGGTAGGAAAAGAAGTGGTTTCGGACTGGCAGTCAGAGTAAGGACAGAATGCACCCCAGCTGGGATCTCATGCTGAAGCAACACTGTGAGCCCCCAAGAATCCTGAATCTGTGAATGTGGCCCAGACAGAATGGGCAAGCAGACAATACTCGGAATGCACAGGGAAAGCACTTCGGCCTCTGGTGGCCCAAACAAGGCCTGGGTGGGCACCGAAGGCCAACTTCCTTCTACCAGCCATGGCTCAGGTGTAGGAGAGCAAGTTCAGGTCGTAACAGCCATCCACCTGCAAGAGAAGAGACCGTGAGATCTGACCCACTCAGGGCAACAAGAGCCAAGCAGAGGGGAGTGACCACTCACATCAAAGCGGCCGATCCTCGTGGAGGTGTGGCTGGCCCGGATCATCTCCGTCAGCGCCCACATCTGCTGCACCTCGGAGGATACCCTGTTGGGGTCTGGGAGACCCTGCTCCAGAAGGAGGGGTCAGTGGCCATGGGTCTCTCCCTAGCAGCCCCCTCCCTTAGAGCTCCGGAGAGGCCACGCTGGGCTAAGGGGCCCCCCAGCTGAGACCAGTAGCATCCCCATGTGACTTGTGAACCAGGAGGCGGGCCAACCCCACGCAGATGCCTCAAATGCTGTGGCGCACCCGGGAGGAAGATGACAGAGTGAACCAAGGGCCCGGGGTTCAGTCCTGAGTCATACAGAAAGGGGCCCACCGTGGCCAGTGCTGGACAGGAGAAGGCTGAAGGCTTACCTCAAGGCGAGCAGGCTGCTCACAAGGCGCTGGGTGGGAAAGCCACTGGGGGAAGGTCACGGAGGGGCTCTGCAAAGCGAAGGCACACTGCCCTGAGGAGACAGGGCGGGAGGGCCCCGGGACCAGATTCCAAGGTCTCAGAACCAGAAAGACCTCTGAGCCTCAGACACTCGGAAAACCCGGTTCAGGGGTGCAACGGGCTATCAGACTACCTAAGCTCTTCTGTTAGCAGAAACACACCTCAGGAACACAAGGAACAGAGGTCTCTCCCAGCACCTGAACACCCCATCTGACAGCTGCAGGTCACCACCAAAGTCACAAGACCTGGGGACACAGCCTCACCTCTCATCATGAGCTTCCAGCATCCCCACCTGGCTAACTTCCATGAAGTGTCCCCATCTTACCCACCTGTTCCTACTCCACCCCCAGTTCTCCTAGCATAGCTAGGAGCCTCCTGGGGAAAGACCAGACAGCAGGTCTGAGCTCGTTACTGACCTTGGGTCCCTGCTGGTAAATCTGGAGTTCCTCCACTGTGAAAGACAGCCACAGTGGCGATGGCTGCCGCAGAATCAGGCGCAGCTCCTGTACTCTGGCCATGTCACACAGCATCTGAGAAATACACACACACAGGGATGCAGCAAGGCCCCACTCACTGCCCACGAGCCTCCCAGCCAGCAATGAGCCAAGATGCTGCCTCCCCAGGCTTTGGGGGAGGACAGAGCAGTAATCTCTCTAAGGTACTTGCCAAAGAGACACGGCCCAGGCCAGCCTTGCCCCTCTTCCCACTGGTATCTGGGCCCAATCCCCAGACCCCCTGTGAGCCCCCATCTGGGCTGCCCTGGCCAGCTGAGCCCCAGCTGACCTGGTGCTTGAACAGCGACACGTGCTCCTGGGCCCCCTCCTCCCTGTGCGGGTCGGGCATCAGGCGGTAGTCCCGCAGGCAGGTCACCCATTTGGCCGGGGTATGCATGGAGCTGTGCTGGCGAACACGGATGCTCAAAAAGGCTGTGTAGTAATTCTTAAACATGATCTCCTGCAACTAGAGTGCACACATCCCCCAAGACAAATAAGACCCAGACCCAGGGCCTGAGAGGCTCAAAGGTTCCAATTGCTCCTCCACTTGGAAATGTACTCTTCTTCCAACTACCATTCCAAGCATCCTCTGGGGCCTAAAGACAATTTTATTGTCCTAGAAGAGCTCACAATCTAAATAAAAACAGTTCATGCAAGGCTGCAGATCCTGCCACATGTCCATGACGCTGCAGCAGTCAGAGCCCTAACTCTGAAAGAAGCAGAAAACGTACAGATGAGGCCTGAAGGAGGAAGAGTCCACCAGGTGGACTGGCAAAAGCACAGAATGTAAAAGTAGCACAGACAAGAGAGGACCAGAGGCTGGGAGAACCTGGCACACCCCAGGACAGTGAGGGATTTGGCCTGGCCACAGCAGTCCACCCAACACTCATCAGAATCACCAAGGAAGTTTGTTTTTGTCTTGTTATAATACAGGTGTGGAGGCTCCACTCCAGACCAACTGAATCAGGACTTCCAGGATTGCGCCCTCTAAGGACAATTCCCAGCTTACAGTAAGGAGCAGCTCGGAGAAGAGCCACACAGTACAGGACAAAGCGAGGGGTGGAGAGGACGACAGGGCAGACTGGCCCTGTGTGCCAGGACGTTAGGAAGTGGACCGTGTCCTCTGTGCTGAGGTCCTGTAGAGTCACTCTGCCACCAGATATGGACGGGCAACTGGGGATGGGAAACTGGAGCCACTGCGAAGATGCTAATCAGGATGAGCTGAGCCCGACCTCCAGCAGGGGCTATAGGATTGGGCGGTGGCAAGTCTGGGGAAACCTCATTGTGTAATGATCCCAGACAGTGGCCAGGGACAGAATGACTTCTCATCTGTTTGGTTCCCAAGTGTATCTCCAGCCCCTAGCCTACTGTCCGGGCTGTGCCTGCGCTGCCCCGGCCATGGGGGATGGATGCAGCCGAGCACAGGCCAGGATGCTGTTCTAGGAAGTACAGTTCATGGAAGGGATAAAGGGTCTTGAGTCACAAGCACAAGCGCACAACAGATGCCGTTGCTAAAAGACGGAACGCCTGGGCCGCGCCCGCCTTCCCCAGTCAGCCCCGCCCAGGGGCCGCGGTCGCGCCCACGGGGCTGGCTCACCTCGAAGGGCGCGACGCTGGGGAAGGTGACATCGAGGACCAGCACGCCAGGCCGGCCCTGGGAGGTCCGCACGTCGCCCACCTGCAGGGCCACGGTGCCTTTCACGTGGCAGGGCACCAACACTCGGGACATGGTGCCAGCGGCCGCAACGAGGGCTGGCGCCTGCAGCCGCGGGTCCCGGCACCTCCCGGCGCCGCGGCCGAGCCCCGGAACCACAACTCCCGCGACGCCCAGCGCTCCGCCGGCCCAGCCAGTAACAGGCACACGGCCGGCCGGGAGCCGGAAGCGCCCGCGGAAGCGCCGCGCCAGCCAATCGGCGCAGGCCCCCGGCTCCGGAAGCGGGCTGTGCTCCGCGTCCACGCGTCCGAACCTGGCTCTCTGCTTCGCGGCTCCGCCTCCACGTGGGACGCCGGGGCGTCGGCCTGCGTTAAGTGCGGACGTAGATGGGAGCCTCTTTTTTTAAGGAGCAAAAGATTCGGGCAGATAATGCGAAGATCAACAGCCAGTAGCCTTTGGAAGGATGCTTACGGGGCAGCCCATCAGGGAAGTGCCAGTGAGAGTTCGCGCACACCCGCTAACGACCCGCAGGGATGTGCGTGCCTGGAACCCTCATCCAATGGTAATTTACAGCCACTGTGGAAAACTGTTTGGCATTTCTTTAAAGGCTAATTTTTGCCTACAACGTGATCCAGCCATTGTACTCCTATGTGCCCAGGAGAAGCGAAAGCATAGGTCCAAGACTTGATTCATAACAGCCAAAAATTGGAACTAATCCAAATGTCCAGATGAACATGTAAACGAACTGTACTATATCTACACAATGGAATACTACCCAAAGTAGAAAGAAATGAACAATCCAAAAACCCAGCAACAGATGAATGGGTAAGCAAAATGTGGTCTATACACAAAGTAATTATTCTGCCTTGAAAATGAATGAAATTCTGGTGCGTGCTTCATTGTAAATATGCTAAGTGATAAAAGGATAAATACTCTATGATTCCATTTAAAGTATCTAGAATAGGCACCTTGCTGAGCCAGGAAGTAGAATAGAGGTGGTGAGGGGCTCAAGGGTAAGCCGGAATAGTTACTGTTCCACAGATATGGAGTTTCTGTTCACCATGATGAAAAATTTCTGGGAACGGTGATGTTACTGTGAATGTACTTAACACTGGATTATACACTTAAGAGTAAAGTGATAAATTTTATGTATTTTTTACCACATTTGGAAAGGAAAAGGAATGAACTAATAAACACAGCACTGCTGCCAGATTGCACACGCACTGTTAGGCCAGAGTCACAGCCAGCAGAGCACTTACTGCATTACTCCACTTACATGGAATTCTAGAAAAGTCAAAGCTAATCTGTAGCAGTATAAATCAGAAAGAACAGTTCTCCTAGGGCCAGAGGTGGAGTTGGAGATTGACTGTGAAGAAGCAGAGGACATGTTTTGGGGTGACGAAAGGGTTCATGACTTGATCGTGGTCTAGTTACATCTGTCTAGACATTTATCAGAAACCATTAAACTGAGTCCTTAAGATTTGTGCATTTACTGCACCTAAATTTATTGTACCTCAGTAAACATTTTAAAAGAAAAAAAAGGCAAAAAATATTGACCATCCCTCCAGGTGCTTGTGGAAACAGCGCCTCAGAGCTTGTCAGTTAAGTCTCTTTCGGAGACACTAAAGCCGAGGCCAGCAGGAGTCCCGGGACTTCGCAGGCCAAGGAGGCCGTGTGGAGTAGAGCCGGGAGCAAGGCCTCTTGGTGCCCACCTCACACATCGGAACCCTCCACACAGTGATCACTTGGTGAGCTGTGCCTTCTCCGGGAGCATAGTCCCAGCAGCCCTGTGTGGCCCCTTGTGGCAGATGAATCTCACCCCCTGTGTGGGGAATGGCCACCTCCCCTCCAGCCCCTTCACCCCGTGACCCACTCCGTGGCAAGATGGCCTTTCCACTGTGAGACCCTCATGGAATCCCTCTGCCTCAGAGTCAAATCCAAAAGCTGGGTTAAATCCATAGGTTCAGAGCATGAATAGCCACTGCCCACAGTCTACTCAGAACTGTGCCCTCCCCAGCGCTGGCCCCTCACCCCCACTGCCTCCCTCCCACCTTCCAGCCTGCCCACAGGCGTCTGTCCCCTCTCCACCTTTGAGCTTGGTTTAGAATTTGACATTTCAATGAGTGCTTCCTTGATCTGGACAAAGTCAGAGGTTCTTCCGATTCTGTGGTAATTGTCCCTGTATCCTGTCCCTCACTGGGCCCTGAGGGGTGGGAGCTTAGTCTGTCGTTCTGTCCCCATCACCCAGCTGGGTGCAGCAGGTGCTCCAAAATATATCCCAAGTGGACAGTCATTCAACTTCGGGAACTTCCAGCGAAGGTGGAACGCCCGGGAGAGGGTTTTTCAGGCGTTCGTGTCAGGCAGCACGGGAGTGACTCTGAGACACATGACGTGAGGGGGAACAGAACCAGCTCTGTGCTTGGCCCAGCCTCCTGTCTGGACGGAGTTTCCCAGGGCCGTGAGGGGGCGTCTGTCAGACTCCCTGAGGTGGAGAGACAGGCCCGGGCACTGGGAGGGACCGGGATGGCTGAGGCTGGCATGGGGCGCTGCACAGGCCGGCCTCGAGCTCTCCAGGGGCCTCCTCCCCTGCGGCTGCAGCTTAGTGAGAACGTGCATGTGAGGAAACCACCAGCGACAAAGAAAGGACTGCCCGAAGGGGGAGAAATGGTAAATTGCCAGATCTACTCAGAACCAAAAATAGCTTGTGTTCTCAGCAGCCATAATAAAAATCGAACCTGTGGGACACGGCATAGAGTTCTTGGGCGGGTACTGCTCCAGTTGTGGATTAAAAACTCACCTAGATGACGATCTGCTCTGATCCAACTTAGTAAAGCTTAAGATCAAGCATCAAAATGACAAGAACATTTAAATGTACTCCAAAACAAAGGTCAAGAATGTTTACAAGAATACAATAGTTAGTATTGGCACCCAGAAAGGTAAAATTTGCAATGTTTGGCATCCAATTCAAAATTACCAGTCATTCTGTAACATCTTTCTTCCTATGCTGACAGGTAGTAACCACACTAGTAGGGGTGAGGATTTAATAATAAGGGTAACTGTTGAACCACTGTGTTGTATACTTGAAACCAATGTAATACTGTGTATCAACTATACTTCAATAAAGTAGTACGCTTTAAAAAAATTACCAGTCATGCAAAGAAGCAGAAAAATATGATGTCTAATAAGGAAAAAAAGTCAAACAATAGAATAACAGACGATTGAATTTGTAGACAAGCTTATTAAAACTTGAACTTAATATCCCATATATTCAAGAAAGTAGAAGAAATACTGAGCACATTTTGTATTTATGTATATACAAGTTGGACACCTAGGAGCACCCATGCGTAGTTGTAGTTCAAGTCCAAAGGTCTAAGAACCAGGAGAGCTGATGTTGTAAATCCCAGTCCAAGACCCAGGAACAGCTAATGTTTCAGTTGGAGCCCAAAGGCTGGAAAGACCAATGTGCCAGCCCAGTAACCAGGCAGGAGTTTCCTCTTAATAAGCTTTTTGTTCGAGTCGTCAATTGATTGGCTGAGGCCCACCCAAGTTGGAGAGGGTGGTGTGCTTTACTCAGTCTGTTCAAATGTTAACCTTACTCAGAGACACCTCAGACACACGCCCAGAGTAACGTTTGCCTAATGTTTAGATAGTCTGTGGTCCCATCAAGTTGGCACAAAATTAACCATCACAGTATGTTGTTCAGTTTCCATGTTATCTGTGATTTTTTTCTGTTTTCCCTCTCTTATTCCTCTTAGTTACATTCCACTGTGACTGGAAAAGATCCTTCCTATAATCTTGGTCCCTTACAACACCTCAGGACTTACTCTGGCTGCCCGCGGTCAGTGCTGGACGCTCCCCTGCACTGAGACCGTGTGTGCAGCGCTGCTGGGGGGACGGTTCCCTCGGTCCGTTAGGTCTGCTTGGTTCACAGCATCGCTCACGTCTGCATTTCTTTCCCCGCCCGTCTGCTTGTTCTGCCTCCTATGGAACGTGGAGAGCTGCCGCCTCCAGCTGCCGCTGCCGCGCTGCCCACTTCTCCGCACGGTCCCGCCGGCTTTGGTCATGCGTTCTGGGCGTTCTGGGGTCGGGTGTGTGTAACCGTTACAGCCTCCTGCTCTACTGTGCCTTTTATCAACACGTTTCCTTTTCTGTAACCTGTTTTAATCTGTTTTGATTTAAGACCATTTTGTTTTGCAATAATACAGCCACCCATCTCCCCTTTGGTTACTATTTGGGTGGCATGTCTTTTTCCACCCTTTTGCTTACAGCCTCTTTGTGTCCTTACATCTAAACTGACTCTTGCAAGCAACATAGAGATAGATTTTATGGGATTTTTAGAAATTCAATCTGCCAATATGTCTTTTAATAGGAAAGTTTAACCCATTTATATTGGATGTGATCACTGATAAAGAAGGGTTTACTTGTGATGTTTGTTCTCTGTACATTTTATGTGGTTTTTGTTCAATTCCTACGTTTCTGTCTCTTTTTTGGTATTTAGTTGATTTTTCATAGTGTACCACTTTGATTCCCTTCTTTGTGTATTTTTAAACTACCTTCTCAGTGGCTAAGAAATTATAATTAACATCTTAGATGTGTAACAAGCTAGTATGAATAATACAGCTTAGTTTCAGTAGTTCACAAGCACTCTGCATCTGTTCCACCCCCTCTATATTGTTTTTGTATTACATTGTTAAAATTAGGCTTTATACATTGTATGACTATTAACATAGATTTATAATTGTTGTTTTATGCATTTGTCTTTTAAATAATCACATAGAAAAAGAGAAGTTGCAAACCAAACCAAAAGTACAACAATGCTGGCTTTTATATCTACAAATAAAGTAACTTATCCTAGTATTATTTCTAATTATGGTGTCCAGTTACTGCCTCGTGTCCTGTCATTTTAGCCTGAAAGACTCCTTTTAGCATCTCTTGTAGGGCAGTTCTACTGTTATGTTGTTTGTTTTTAATAAGCAAATAGTTGAAAATTTCCTGTCTTAATCTCTAATGTCATAAACATCCATAGATACAACTCACGTAAATCTCTCTTGAGGACTCGGTAATTTTAAGAGTGTAATGTGGTTCTGAGACTAAAGATTTTGAGGCCTACTGCTCTATGGTTTATTTCTGGGAGTCAGCTTGCCAAATCATGGCTATGAGAGAATGAATATCCTTCAGT